TATATATATATATATAGACGGGAAAAAAAATACCTCAGCTAAAAAGAAAAAATAATGACATATTAATTTGCATAAAATTGTTTAAGCCTTAAATATATAGTAAATTTATTCATTTTTATAATGTTTATTTAAAAAATTATATTAACGATATTTTATTGATTAACATGATAAATTTTTTTTTTACATTGAAGATTCCTAATAATTAAATTCTTAATTTAAATTTTATTAATCTTATAAAGTATTTTAATGAAAATCAAAAGTAAATATATTCTTATTTTTTCGTTCTACATATTTAAAATGTATTTGAAAAAACATTGAGTTAAAAGTGACTTTGTGGCTTCCTAATACCGATTCAAATATATATTTAGAGTGTGTTTAAGAATCTATTTGTAACAATGTAAATGGGAAATAAAAGTTCACACATTTAAATATGCTAAATAAAAAAAAATTGTCTAATTATTGGATGTATTTTCTAATAAGTGTACGTGTATGTCTTACAAATGGTTGTTAGAGTATTTACAACCCAACAACTCATTTGACATTCATGAACCACTTTTTAAATTATTGACATATTTCTTGGATAAAAAATTATTAATATTATTATAATTAATGCAAAAGACACATCATATCTCTTTATATTTAAAAAAAGATAAAAGTAATAATAAAAAAATAGAAATAATAAAATAAGTGGTTAAGTGGGAGTGCTTTGAAAAAGATAATGTAAATAAAGATACAATTCAGTAATTATATACATGAAAATATAAAATTAATTTTTATATATAGGTATAAATAAGGGGAAATGAGTCATTGCATACCTAATTATTATTTTAAAGACATAATAAAAAATAGTTAATAGGAAAGAGATGATAAAATGATAATGTATTGATAACTTTTCAATAGTAGATATAATTGTAAATATAAGTTGAAAGATAAAAGAGTTACAAAAATATGTATAAAAAATAACATATTTTCTGTAATATTAACTAACGAGGATAAGATAATTTATGTCTCTATATTTTATTTAATAAGAATATTTAATAAAAATCTTGAATTTAAATCTTATAATAAGAATAATTAATTTTTAATATTATTTTTTATAATTTAAAATTTTAAAAATAAAATTATCTAAAGAAAAATAAATACACTAAATAAAGTTATATTATATTTTTATATATGATATAGATTATAGATATGTTTTAACATGTTTGGACCGACATTTTAGTCTTGAGGTGATAAGGAACGGGATTTTATACAAGAATTCCTATACCAATAAAAAGTCGATAAGTACAAGAAACCAACAAGTACCCTAAATAGAAGCTTCCATTTACTCTGCACCCTATTATGTGCTAATGGTTTGTTGGCCCCAAAATCTAGGAGGCCCAAAAAATATATGCCAAATGGCTGCGAAATATTAGGATAATTGTAACGGTTATAAAGACTATAGTGTGTGTTTGTTTCTTCGTTTCATTTAACTGAACGTCAATCCATCTTTCTTTATTTCTACGTTTCTGTCTTGAAAAGTGGAAAAACTTAATTGAACGAGGTTGAAACAATAAAACAAACACGCCAATACTATCTTTTACTAAATAAAAATGGATGAACTCACTTTCTGATAATTCTTTCACTTTCTTTCTTTATTAAAAAGTCAATTATTACAACTCTTTACCTATGGGCACTTACTCATGTAATTCTCACATAAGAAAAGACTCTATCTCTTTTTATCATAATTGCATATCTCTATTTTAAAATAAACATTTTGTGTCTTCTTCCACTAATACAATATAAAGGAAAAATGTTATTTGTACAATTAACAAAATTTACAACTAACAAATTTTACAACTGAAAGAGAGAACGAGAAAAAAGAATTGAGAAATGTAAGATGCAACAAATAATAAAGTATAGAGAGAATGGCGAAAAATCATATTTAAATTTTTATATAAATTATTATATGCATACCATACATCTAGTTTTTATTGTAAGTATTATAAAGAATGTTAACATAAAATGAATAATTATGCAAGTATAAGACAGGTTAAATTATTTTTTTTGTCCGTTAATTTATTAAATTGATCTCTTTATTATTAAAATATTTAAATTAGTCTATTAATTTTTTAAAATGATACAATAAGGTCTATTAATGATGTTAAATTTTTGTATATATAGTGATACAAGTCATTTTTTTTATTGTGTCACATATATAAAAGATTAATGTCGTTAATTTTAATTGGATGAAAAATGTAACACTGTAAGTTGTTATAGTGTTATATTATTCCTAATTATTATATAATGTTGAGTGAGTTGTTAATCAATATTGAGAGGTTCAAGAGTTTGAGAATCTCTTTGGAGCTTTAGTTAAGAAAGGATTTCTTTGGGACAAAATTCAGTTTGACTCAAAGAAAAGAGTATATAAGATTTCTATTTTGAATAAAGTCTCATAAACTTTTTTCCACAATTTTCTAGAGAGAAGATTCTAAAGAGAAAATCTATGGCTCAAAAACTCTTTTTCTCTCAATCTTCTTTTCTTCTTCTAAATTCTCATTAAAGTGATGTTGTTTGTGATTCAGGTTAGTAGGAACCTTGAATCAACCGTGGAGTCATTCAGACTTGACATTTCTCTTCTTCTTCTACCTTGGATTTGTGTTTCCATCGAGGTAAGGAAAGTTGGATTTATGTTCTCATTATTGTATGTTAGAGTTATGAGATTATTTTGGTGTTGAATGTTGTGTGAATTCTTTGCAATTCGCGGTTATTATTGATTAAATTAGAGTGAACTGTGGAATGAAAGTTGGGTTTGGTGTTTTTGAGCAAGAACATAATGATTTGAATTGATTAGGGTTGCATGTTGATTTTGAGTGTAGATATATGTTAGTTGTGATGTACATAAGTACTGTTTGATGTTGCATGTGTTGAATCTTCGTTGGATTTCAAGTTGTGGCTCGAAATCAAGTTATGCATATGCAAAATTCTAATGTTGCGTCAGATGCATCTTCAAGGCGTCAAGCGTTATTCTAATTTAAGGCTCTTTGTCTTAATCATGTTGGGCATAAGATTGGTGGGGCCAAGCATGAGGAAAAAGACTCGTCTCATGTTTGAATGGTGTCAAGAGTAAGAGCCTCGAGAGCTCTCTAATTTAGTGATGTCGGGCCCAAAGTTGAGTGGCACCTAACATGGCCAAGCTAGAGCTCTTTGTTTGGATTTCATCGAGTGTTAATGTAGTGATGCTAGATGAGAATCAAGCATATACTCTCTTCCTGAAATAGTGTTGGGCGTGGTGCTTTACCATGTCGGATGCGAGGTCTCACAGACCTAGACCTTAGCCACATCAAGCGTAGGTTGTGTAGCGTCGAGCATGGACGAAGCAAATAGCTCCTTGCTTGAATGGTGTCAGGTGCAAGGTGTGTAGTGCCAGGCACTAGCTGCTTAATAAAAACATGATGATGTAATTGATGAAGTATTGATTACTTGTTAATTTAAGTTGTTAAATGAAAACATGATGAATAAGTTGTAGAGATGAAGTAGTAGGTGATGATTTTGTTGTGAATATGAGATGTACAATGTGTGTTGATAGAATTGTATATTGATTGTGTATTTGTGTTGAATATGCAATGTAATGTTAAGATGTATGATTGATGAAAGAGTTGAATATGAGTAGTAATGACTAAGTTGTGAGATATAAAGATGTATGTTGATTTCGTTGTTGTGTTAAACATATGTGTGTGTGTGTATGTATATATATATATAAAGTTGTCATGTTGTTGAGTTGTGTTGGCCACTTAGTACTAAAGAAGAGGTTTTCAGAAGTTGTATATCCCATTGTGTGGATATTGTGTTGCGTCAAGAGTCCAATTTGTTGAAAACTCTTCTTAGAAAATTGACCCTTAAAGTGGATAGCTGTGTTGTTTATCCTTTGGGACTTTGTTGGTACCATGTGTGAAGGTCGAGATAGATATGTATGAAGTGATCACAATATAGGAGGCATGTCAAGCTATGTTGATTATAAGTGACCAATCAAGTAAAGTACGAAGTTGAGAACTTAGTTCCTAATTGAGTATCAAAATGTCGTAGTATTTGGAGGGCAATTAGTGGGTTAATCCCATAGGAGGTTTGATTAAGCTAGATAATGTTGTGGTAGGCTCATACCCAATTGTTCTACCCTGACAGTAGTATTAGACTTCCTTAATTAAGTGGTGACATATGAGAAATCGAGTTGTTGTGTTATGGATATATATCCAATTTGTTATTGATCTATCAAGCCCAAAAAGATCATCCTGTGTTGTCAATTTGGTAGGGTCAAACCACTTAAATTGCTCACCTTGTGTTGTAAGAGATCCATTTTTGTATGTAGGCCATTGAAAAATTGCCACTTTCCCAACTGCACTGGAATTAATTGGAATTTTTACTCAATGGTAAATGTTGTACTGTGCTGCATACTTTAAACTTCTCTTTCTATTTCAGTGGTTTACTTAACTTTAAACCCTACACATTCCAATCCTTTCACAGATAAACTAAACTTGCCTAGAAAATAGATAATCAATGCCTCTAATTTTCTTCTTCCTTCAAACTATATGCTTCTTCACCACCACATTGAAGTTAGGTGAAAAACACATAGAAGGGGGGGTTGGTTATGTGTGTGTATGTGAACAAAGGAGTTTTTTAAAAAAAAACTTTTTCGCAAGAGGCTCTCTTTCGTCCAGTAAAAATATTATTAATGAATACTTGAACTGAAACAACCCAAGATTGGTTTACCAAAATCATTTTGCGTCTG